TGGGGACTTCTTGAATGCTGTCCCTGGAAACTTGAAATCTCACAGGGATAATTTGTTCACTGGACACTGAAAAGATGGCTGATGGGACTTGATAAAAATAGCTAACAGTCCCCTCCCTGAACTTCTCATTAGGAATACTCTAACAGGTATTCTACCAGTTGAATAGACCTTGATGAAAATGACCAGCTGAAATAATTGCAGGGAGTTAATATTTTTAACCAGAAATCTTCAAAAAAATTTTTTGTTAGAAACATAAATATTAATGTTCTGGGAGGTGACTATATTTTTTTCACCTGCCTTATCACTTTCAGATGGCTTCCTGGAGTGAGCAGTTCTGCAGGTTATCAATATTAGATTACCACCATCATACAACATCATAAATCATAGAGGGTATCAATGACGTGAATCAGATAGCTAGTAGTTAAGGACATTTGCTGTTTAAACAGGAAATAAAACACTGGAATCTTCCAGAAGAAAAGCTGTTCTACCTCATTTTCAGAAGATCATGCCCTATTTGTGAAGCAAATTTATCTAATGAAAGGCTGTGAAATGTGTTTTTTCCCCTTGAATAAGTGCCTGTGGTATGGATGAGGTTAGAACACTCTGTTCGCATTCTTCCCAGTTTAGCTTCAGGGTGGGAAGGGTTGCTAGGGCTAAATGCTGAGCAGAGCCATCTCTAGGAGTGAAGATTAGACAAGGAAGAAATATCTAAAGCAAGCTCATGATTAGCCTGGAAAGTTCATCTAAGAGAGCGCAGTGAATTAACTTCATGGAGTTGGGCAGAGGCAGAGGTCTGATTTTGAATCTTCTCTGGAGCTACTCTGGGTGATTGGGATTCCAAGTCTGGTTTCAAAAGGCTAATTTTCACTAGGCAGTGCTGGATGTGTTCATACTTCCAACAACTTACAACTTGTTACTTAATCTGAAGGCCACTTTAGAAGGACAATTTAAAATCTTTATTGAATAAGTGAATAATAGGGTTGACATAATGTTCTAACAGAAGCTACCATTTATGGGTTCTGAATTACAAGTTCCATGTTTTTAATGCCACTTTCAGGCAACAATACAAACGAGTCAAAGGCCATATGCAATAAGCATTATTAATGCCTTTTAGGTAAAACAGTTCCTATTCAACTCTGATTGATGGAAGGAAGTCAACATTTTACACAATCAACTTGACCTATTTTGGATAACACTTGGCTAATATTGTTACTTACTGCTTCTTTGAGCATAATCAAAGAATGGAATTTTAAAAGTGCACATTAAAGCAGCATCAAAAATTTCTTAAAAACAACAACAACAACAGAAAAGGAAGCAGCTGAAGCATTAATCTCTGTGAAGAACAGAACAGTGATTAATGGAAAACACTTAAAATTTCAAAAAGCCAGATCTACATGTAATCACAAAAACACATTTCCCAGAAAAATAGGAGACCAAATAGAGGTTAAAGTGTAGACATTGTGGAATAATTTTGAGGGGGGAATCAAATAGCTATTGAGTAGTTATAGTTTCTTTATGAAATATTAATGGCCAACCACTTGTCAGTCACACTTCAGCACCCCTAGGAAATGCTCAAAATACAGATGCTGAGCAAGGGGAAAAAAAAATCCACCAAAAAACAACTGTGCAAATGGAAAAAATGTTAGCACTGCTGAAAAATCAATATAAATCATGGTCATGCATTTAAACTTGAAGGAGAGGAAAGACGTCAATGTATCTATGCCTGGTGTTTATACTGCCTTCTTTTCTCTTGAAGTGCTTAGAGACAGCTAGAATTTCACAAAAACCTTTGCAAATCCTAATTACGAGCAAATCTACATGCACCCCCCCCAACACACACACACAAACTACAGTACAGCTATGGCATTTGTTTGTAAAAGCTTTTTCGGGGAAAGAGTGTGATTCATTTGTAAGGCTCTCTCTGTGGCTAGTTGTTTTCTGGCAATGCAGAAATTCCTCTAAATAGGTCATCATAATACTGATAGTCATCTCTACAGTAACCAGTTTTCAAAGCAACTGGCTGAGGACTGCATTTCTGGAAGGGGGAATTATATTAGAGATATGGTAGTAGCACAAGAAGCTGCAAGCTAGTGTCAAGCAATTCCCTTATAAGCACAGAATTCATCAAATATTCTCTTCATTATTTGAGGCGAGCATAATTTACTTGGTGGGACATTGATAGGTACTGCTCAATCTTTTACTGTATGATATAAAGGGCACAAGTGTGGTTAATTCCTTTCATGTTTCGCAAATAGATCTAGGTACTTGGGGTTTCCAATGTGAACCCAGGGCCTGAATCTTGGTAGAAGTTTAGGGATAGGATGTGGCTACCAAGTTCTTAGAAGTACTCCAAAGTTTAAGTCCTTGAGCTGTTTTTCAGTCAAGAAAAATCAACTAAGTTTCTAAGTGACACCCTGCATCTCCTAACCCTGATCTCCCTCTCTGACCTCTCTCCCTGCTCTTTGGAGCCTCATTGGTGAATTTATGAAATCTTAAGATCTCACTGTTGCTCTCAAATCTGGAGAAATGCTAACCGAATGACTCTCCTTATTTCCCCCTTCTTATCTGAAGGGAGGTAGATTGGCTACTGGGCAGAAACGGCTCCTTCTTTCTGACCCATCACATATATCAGAAAAGATTACACTTTGAATAGAGACTCACGGGAAAGGAGGGTTTTGTCTTGTGTGTTCACATGGCTTATTCTCGGTGCCTAGAATAAGAATCGTGTCTTGTAGAGGAGAGAGACTCAATAAAAATTTGTTGAATGATTGGAAAAACCTGAACAAAATCAAACCCTAGCATGTTCTCCTTCAGGGTAGGTTGCTGTCCTGACTGAAGAGAGGGGTTAAAAAAAATAAAAAGGTTCAAAATACCTAACACAATCCAGAGCAGGAACACCATAGTCCCGTCCCTTCCCTCTCGACCCCCTTCTCCATTCCCTTCAGCTACATCACAGTGGATGGTATACACAACCATGTTCTAGCTTGAGGGAAAACAAGGGAAATGGAATCAACTGAAGTCATCAGAGTTGGATGCCTGGATAAGAACTGTTCAGGTATGAACCAGCAAGGGGAAAACCCTGACAGATATCCAACATGCCAGGGCAACAATCCCAAACAAAAGCTAACACAGCCAATCAATCCTTAAAAGGAAGGAACATGGTATTCAAAAGAATGACAAAACCCCCACTTTAAAAGAAAACATAATCCCAAGAACAAAACAAAATTCCTCAGAAGTGCTTTGGACCATGATTCAAGTTAATGAGAACACAAACAGAGAAAAATATGACCTCAAAGGTGAGACAATGGATCAACAGGAAGGGGGCAGAACTAAGGGAGGTCGGGGATAAAACCAACATTGCAGAATGAATTAATAAAGTTGATATAGCAAGGAACAAAATAAACAGGGCTGCAAATAAAATCACTGACCTAGAAGAATGGCTTGTAAATACAAGGGATCAAAGGAATTAGAAGGCAATGGATTCGAGTTCAAAGCCTGAAACAGGAGGAAAATTGTTGTCCCTGAAGGGGATTTTATAACTGCAACAGGATGGGCGAATGCTGCATGCCTGTGTTCCTAGTTGCTCAGGAGGCTGAGGCAGGAGGATTACAGGTTTGAGGCCAGCCTCACAACTTGGTGAGGCCCTCAGCAATTTGGTGAGACCCTGTCTCAAAATAAAAATGGGTTGGCTCAGTGATAGAGGGCCCAGGGTTTAATCCTGTACCGAAAAGCAAACAAACAACAACAAAAAATGGATGGAACAGGGGACGCCTTTACAAATCTCATGCAAGGAAATTTCACTAAGGAGGAAGAACAGCCACATTTGTAGACTGAAAGGGCTGACCATATTTTAGGAAATATCAATAACACAATGCTTAATACTACAAACATCTCTGATTGAAGATATTCCTCTAGCATTTAGGCAGATAAAACAAGTCACATATAAGGAAGCAAAAATTTGGCTGGCTTCAAATATCTCTACAACATCCAGCATGAGGACCATATGTATGCTAAGCCACATGTCAACACAGACTTTCCTTTGTGCAAACAAATTTCAGCCACGGAAGACATATAATTGAGTCTTGGGAATTTCTGGTCACAATGGTTAGGAATAATGATGTAGCCAACCTCAGAATACCTATCCTAGCATTTTCCAAAGTGCATCCTATGAACTCTAATCCTATGAGGTATTTTTTGAAACAGGGAACTGTGGTCAAACAGTTTAGAAACACAGATTCTGTAAAAGTCCTGCCTTAGAGATTTAAAAAACACTTTTAGAAAGAATCTGAGACATTACAGAAACCTTTCTTTTAGACTATTTTTTTTTTTAGTACTGAGGATTTGAACCCAAGGTCACTGTACCACATTCCCAGCCCTGTTATTTATTTATTTTTATTTTGAGACAGGGTCTTGCTAAACTGCTCAGGATGGTCTTGAACTTACCATCCTTCTGCCCCAGCCTTCAGAGTAGCTAGGATTACAGGCTTGGAACACATTCTTAAACTCGGTACTTTTTCTGGAAGTGACTCTTGATTCCTAGAATACCTGTTCATATCTTGTTGAAAAAGTTACAAACCCCATCTGAAGAAAGTTTTATCTACCACAATGGAGGGGGAAAGATTTAATAACTCAAAACAGTAACCAATCTAAAAGCAATTCATATTGATGAGTGGTCCCACGCTGCAGGACAGCAATGACATTTTATGATTCATTCATCCATTTGTTGTAAAGGAATGAAATCTTAATCTGATTTCAGGAAGAGAAAAGTACTCCTGACAGAGCGGCTGCTGTAGGACCACTTTAAAACGATTAGCAGCACATTGCCTTCTAAAGCAGCTGTTTCCAATCCTTAAACTCACACCTACTTTGTTTAAAGAAATGCACCTTTGAGCTGCTTTGCCACCCTGGAACTCTGGGCGTGGCAGAACTTCAGCTTAGTGCAAAATGAGAGAAATTCTAGAAGGTATACTGAAACCAAACTCTTGTTTTCTCTTCCTCAGGGAACCAGGAACAATATAACTGAGAAGGCAAAGGATTAAATACTTCTTATTCCAGAAGAAAAACAAAGCCACCCCAACTTTGCCATACCTTTCCCTCCTCCTCTGTATTTCTCCGATTTACATAAGCAGTTTATGAGGGTGTGAGGTGCCTTCTAATCAGATTACGTGCCGCTGCCCCAGAATTGTGGAACACTTGGCTGTCGACTCACATCATGTCTCTTTTATGCTACTTTGAACTGGAAAAAGAATTTCAATTCAAGACTGACTTGCCTCTATTTCCCTCCCTTCCTGTTAGAAGACAGAAGTGTGTGAGGAATGTGGAATAGAAAAGTGGGAGGGAATTTTCAGAAAGTGTTATATTCATCTGTCCTTCAACTGCTAGGAACAGACCAAGGTGAGCAAGTGGGTTGAACAGTAACTGACTTAGAAAAGGTCACAGGATTTCCAGGAGCAAAGAGAGGAGGGACCCAGGAGCTGGAATGCAGTGGAAAGGGCAGCAATTGCCAAGATATACTGCCCTCTTCAGGATTTTTAAGAAAAAAACATTTAGCAGTCTGACCACCGAGGTGGCAAGGTTGTGAGCAGTGGGCAGGCTCACACACTTCTGGTCTGAGTGTTATTTGCTCAGGTCTAGAAAAGCTGACGATGTGCATACCCTCGGTCCAGCAATCCCACTGGCATGTAAATGTCTTAGAGATGCTCACCCACATTTACATAAGGAGACAGGGGTCGGAATGTTCTTTGTTACTTTTTCTGTGACTGCAAGGAACTGGAAATAGCTCAAATGTCCATAGACAGATCAGACGGATATTTACCTGCCATAGAATGCGACATAGCAATAAGAAGTAACAAAGTTATATCAGCGCACATGGGCACAGCTCCAGAATATAGTCTGGAGAATATAATTTGGAAAATATAATTTGCAGCATAATATAATGAAACCATTTAGATTAAGTCTGGAAACACACCAAAAAACCCCATAGAGTATAATATTATTTATACAGGCAAAAAAACGTGAAAAACAAAACAAAACAAAATCCCTGAATGTGTATGTAATAAAAACAGGCATGGAAGTGACTGACATGATGTGAAAACAGGCCTGAGAATTGCCAATACCAAATTCAAGTTAACAGTTACCTGTGAGGAGCAAATGGGAGCGAGGAGAGAGGGTGAGGTATGCAGGATATTTTGAGGATATAAGTTGTGTTGGATTTCTTTAGCATGGTGAGTATTCATTTAGTTCACTTTATTATTTAGACTTATGGTATGCATGACCTATTTCATTAAAAACACTGAGGATCTCTAAGTCAGAGTCAACTAAAATTTATTAGTGCCTATCATGTGGTTGGCACAGTGCCCTTCTGCATTCTGCAGTGCAGCAGTCATACTGGAGAAGTCTGTGCCTAGCAATGTAACTGAATCCCACTATCTGGAAACTTCCACATCAAACCTTCAGATCCTTTTGCCAGTATGATTCCACCTGAGCTGTTGCCGAGCTGCTGTGAGCTCACCACTATGACTGATGGATTTGTGGAGAAAGGAGCAGGTGGAGGAAGAAGGAAAGCAAGGTAGATTATTAAGACTTAGAGGAAATGAAATGAAACTGATTGGGGATTCTCTTTTCTAAGTTAATTCAACTTCTTTCCTCACCTTACATTCTCCCTCAACTTATCAATTTCTCAACATAAGCTATGTGATGGGAGATGTGGGTGGAAATAAAGAAATTCTTAGCTAATGCATCATTAGTAGTGCGAGGTCCTGGGTTCAATTCCTAGCATGGCAAAAACAAAACAATAAAAAACAAAACAGAAGCATTAGTGTGTGCTGCATGGAGAAAAGGCAAAACTTGCTACTACTTTTATTTGACCTATAGTGATGAGACTCAGGCTGGCTATGAGTGGTTGAGCTAGGGCCATTTATTCTGAGGCACCCATAGGGGACTTGGAGCATCCAGTGAAGTTAATACCTCTATCGGTGGCTGTCAACTCTGCCTTCACATTCTGTCTCTGCTCACACCTGCTAACATCTTGGAGGTGCCAGGTATTGCACAATCTGTCTATTCCTTGTGCTTTGGCTCTTTAGTCTTTTGTGGCAAGGCCAGGTGTTCTGAAAACAAGCAGGGCCGTGCTGTGCAGGGGTAGGTGATGAAGGTACACACATGGCCACAAAGGTAATTGGGTGGACTGTCTAACAAGCCTGGGCTCCTTTAACTAGGCTCTAAACTTACACCCTGGTAAAAAGAATCACAAATTGAGTAGCCTCCTTTTCTTCTATTCCCCACAATCATATAGAAGATACTGGTAATGACTTGGGGGAGAAAACCCCATGAATTTGGGAGTAAGAATTTAACTTTCGATTCAGCAGACAGCTTTAATAACACCAAGAGATGGCCACTTGGGCTTTGTGTAGTTCAGCTTTGTAGTAGGGGAGTTTTCCACAGAGGGAAGGATGACAGAGTCATGTTTTAGAGCCTGTTGTCAATGTGTGTTCCCAGAGTTACCTGGAAACTTGTTAGAAATGCAGACCCTCAGGTGCTCTTCTAGACTTGCAGAAGCAGTTGTCATTATAACAAGAACCCCCGGGAAACTGAGATGTACCAGGAGGCCAGAGGGGCACTACTGTAGAGGATGAGCTAGGTTGCACTGGGGGCAGGTGGGGAGCTGGGAGGGGACAACGAAAAGAGCACCAACAACCCCCAAAGCTTTGATATGTAAAGTTGTTACAGTTTGAGAATAAGTACATGAGGAACAAACAGGCCACTGGAGGGGTGGCCTGGGCCTTGTCATGAAGGGGCTTGGAGAGCATTCTAAGGAATTTGGATTTCATCAAAAAGGCAGTGAGAAGCTCATTAAGACCAATCAAACACTTTAGATTGGAATGACATCACGAGATTTTTGGTTTAAGAAGATGTCACTGACAATAGTGTGGAGGACAGGTGGCAGGGGCCAAGGGGACTGGGCTTTTGGGGGGGGCTGTGGCCATCACTGGAGAAGTGGGGAGGGCTTTCACTGAGGCAGGGCCCTGGAAAGGAGACTGAGGTTGAGGAAGATATTTGGGAGGCCTGAGCAACAGTGCATATTATTACATCACCATTCACATGGCCTTAAAAATCCTTTGACAAAAATGTTGTATGTAGTTGGAAAAAGAAAAACCAACCAGTCAACAAAGAAACCTCCCAAACTCTCAAATACATAGTCTTATATAAAAGTAAAACTTACATTAGGAGAAAGACACAAGTTTCAATGACAAATTATAGAAGCAGAGAAGACTAAAGGAAAATGTTCATTATTCTACTGTTTTTGTGCTGCTTCAAATTGTCAGAGACACTTTTGATGACTGATGATTGATGCATGTTTTAAAATTTAGATTAAGTTGTTAAAAATACATCACTGTTGGTATCGTAGGAAACTTGAAGAATAGAAGAATTCACATACACACATTCGTATTGGGAGTTTTGTCGCGTTTTTGTTCTTTATGAACTCCAGGTTTCAAACATGAGTTTCTTACCGACCAACAAAGAAGCTAATTCTTTTGTATTTCTTTGAAGGTGTAACCATTTCCAAGAGCATATTTTGCCTTTTATATTTTGTTTCTTCATCAATAGCACACATTTAATAATAGACTTTATTAGTTCCAAACTTTTCTTTAAAAGCAAAAGCGAATTTCTAATGGATTTCTGTTTAAAATATTAACATGGCTGATTATTTTTTACTCACTCTTTTAGCAAAAAAAAAGAAAGAAAATGGGATTGAATCTTTATCTTTCTATTTTTAGATTTTAGTCAATAACATAAATTATGTATGAGAAGGTACAGTACATTATTAGCTTGTTTTTAAAAAGCTATTTGACAAAATATGAAATTGAATTACCAATGCTGTCACTTGTTTATCCATCATATTTTTTACAACCTTGAAAATATAGTGATCATCTGTTATTTTAATATAAAAGTCTGAATATAAACCTAAATTCTATTTAGAAGAGTGTTTCATACATTCAAGAAGTGAATGTTAATGAAGGTGAAACTGTATGTGTCCGAGAAACATTTAAACATGAGATAAAAAGAGCAAAGGAACTACCTGAGGGGGTTTTCAGGCAAATATCTACCACACCTTTTGCTTCTTGAGACCTAAATGGTCATGTGTCACATAAGGTCCTTGCTTAACTTCCTAACCTCGTCTCTCTGTCTTGTTTCTTTTTGCCTTCCAGACAGCAGTAGCTCAAAGTTGGCCTTCACAGTTCCCTTCTCTATTAATAAATTTGCTTTCTTATTAGAATTTTCTTTGGCTTTGGAATGGGAACACTTTAAGAACAATGAACACTTCTGAAAGCAAAAACAAATATGGTGACCAATGTAGATGAAACCATGCCAACCCACAGTTAAGTCACATTACCAATGCAACTTGTTTTGAGCTATCAAATACTCAGAGAAGGCTGAATTTATAAGCATGATTGGGATCCTGGTTGCAAATGGGTAGGCAGAGCATGAGACTGAAGCCAGCAGAACTAGTTCCATGGCAGCATAGCTCAGCACTTCCTACAAGGAAATCTTAAAGTTTGTCTTATGCATTGACTATAATTGGAGATGTTTGGGAGAGCAATTTGGCAACATCTATCAACATGGGAAATGCACATTCCCTTCCTCTCAGCAGTTCTACTCCTAGGAATTTATATAATAGGTTCCCTTGCATAAGTATCCAAAGTACAAGGAGATTACAGTGGTAGTGTTTATGAAGACAAAAACCCTGCATTCAATCTGTATGTAGACTATTGGGAATGATCAAAAATATACAGACCATTCACACAATAGCACTGTAGGAAATTATATGTGGGTTATTATACAAAAATGTTGAAGTGATAAAGACAACAATTGCTTGGTGGGAATTTTCATGTCCCCAAATTTCCAACAACCTCTTTTCTTTGATACAGATGATAGATATCATTTTATATGTTTCTTGAAACACAGCTTCAAGATCCTCTTTTTAGCTAGATTCCTCTCAATGAGTCCCTCCTATATCAATATTACAGCGTTACCACTCTAGCATATAAGTTCATGGGAAAAGTAAAATAGTATGATAGAATTTATACATAATATATATTATGCATATATGTGATAAGAATTTCTGAAAGAAAATGAACCTAAAACAGTTCAACAGTGGTTATCTCTGAGTGGAAGGGATTGACCCTTCAAGTATGGGGGAGTGGAAAGACAGACTTCATACTTTTGGTCTATTTTTACTTTTTTGTCATGAATGTATACTACTTTTATAGTTTAAAAATGAATTTTAAATAAAAAATTGAATAATTCTACCTAAAAGAGTAAACAAAATGGAAAATCGATAAAGGGGGCATTTTCTAAGTCTTTCAGGTACATGTCTCCTAATAAGGCCCTGTGAAACAACATGGCCCTGTGGTGGTCCATGAGACCAGAGCCTTGTATGTTTTGCCTGTTCTTGTATCCCGACTAGAAATGGCTTCCTGAGTCTTGCTTCCACTTAATTCTCGAGGACTCTGAAGGTGATGCTTCAAGTATGGCAGGGACAACAGACATCACCTCCTCCCAGAAGCCTCCTGTAATCCTCGAACTCCTCAAGGTCTCTACCTTCTTCCACTCTTATTAGAAAAAAGATTCATTGCTTTATATTAGCTGCCTTCTGCCCTTTATTTGTATTTATCAGATTCCTTATATCTCCAGCTCTAATTACAGCTGCTTTTAGTGTTCCCTTTGTTTCCCTGGAAATCTGCTGATAAGAAATACAGGTTTTACCTCTCTACCAAGATTGCAGATAGAGGACTTTTACGTGCATCAGAGGGGAGAAGATCATGTAGATTGTGCCCATTGGTTAGAGTGGGACATTACTTGACGGTATCTGCAATGCTCCTGGGAGATTCATGCTTCAAGATAAAGTTCCATTTTGCGATAGCAGAACATATAAGGGTCTTTACATGCCCCTGCTCTGCCAGCATACTCAGAATTCCCATCTGCTGCCACTTCCTGGTGCACACCCATACTCCAGCTTTACTGAATTGCTTGTCTTCCTGGTATGCACAATGTATTCTTCTACCCACAATAATTTGTACCAACTGTGGCTCAAAATGCAATTAGTTCACATTCATTTTCTCCTTCCTTCGCATTTTGATTTAATGATTCTTGACTCTAAATAGCTTTTCCCATACAGGGAGAAAAATAGACTCCAGCGTGGAGGAGGGGCACATCCTACAATGTTTTACAGTCTTATGGGATTACAGTGTACTGTGTGCTTGTCCACTAAATTTTCACTGGGGTGTGCTCCAAGTGAGTCACTGTAAAAGGCCCAGCCTAAAGTATAAACAACAACAAAACATGTGTATCAGTTTTTCTTAAGCTTACAGAAAAGAATTATTTGACTTACAGAGAAAAAAAAATTGTAGTTCACTATTTCATTTTTTATTTTGTAGGTAGAGGTTAATATTTATTGTATTCCTCCTGTTGGCATTTGTACCTTACTATTTAGGCCTGCAATTATTTGAAGTTTTGTCCTTATACTCTAATAGGGAATTATCTTACAGTACTCACACTATTCTTATATCG